ACGTCAATCGACGTCAGAGGATCGACGTCACTCGACGTCGATCTCCGACGTCAAAACTACGTCCGAACTACGTCAAATACTTCGCACACGCCATCAATCTTGGAGCGGAAATCGCGTCCTCTGAGTACCACTTACCTCTCCACCCACTGAACTTCACACCCGCATTTGCTCTCGCAGTTGTCCCCACTTGGAGCTAGCATGGGCTTTTCCATCAAAGAAAACTTTATTCATGAGGTGAACAGTTCGACCTTTCGGCCTTCTGTGCTCCTGTCAGTCAAGCCCAGCGTTCAACGGTGACACGGTTTCGCAGCGTGAGACAACGTTCAGAGGCGTAGGATGGTTTGCAAAAGGTAGTGTAAAGATAACAGTGACGGTGCAAAGTGGTGTTGTAGATTTGATACGGGTGTGGCAGAACGGGCAGGTTGCGACAACATCTGTTGTGTGGCGCGAGCAAACCCGTCCCTTCTGCTCAGTCTGGACAGGCGAAGTCCATTGGGAGTGCTCGCCGCCAAGCAGCAGAGCTGAAGGTTCTCTTCGACTCCTAGTCCTCACCTCTGTCTTCGACCTGCAGAATAATATTTCCTGCCCAAATTGTTTTACAGTAGTTGTGAGACTCGAAGTTCCCAATTAACAGCCCAGATCTATGGGCTCACCAACGTCAGAATTCAAAATGGGAGGTTGATGTGGGACGTAGGATTGAGAAACAACTAAGATTCAGCATCATAATGACCCAAAAGCATACATCAGGCACCGCATTTGTTGATCTCGAACAATTAAAGCTGTCGCCTACATACCTCCTGCGGGAGGACCTGGTTTATCACTTGAAAACCAGGTAGCACATGGCTTCGCTCCATCCTTGGGTGGCGAGGTGCAGTTACTGCTTTCTGACAACCCAACCCCCCCTCGGAAAGTTGGCCTGCTCAGGATTGGCTTACAAATTTCGCGCCAATCTACCCCCCAACCTCGATTGGTTGCAGGTTGTGGCGAAATCGCCACCACAACCCCAACCTTACGAAAAATGTACCCCCCCAACCAAACCTTGCACGAAACTGGCGGGATTCGCCAGTTGTGTTTGAATCCTTCGCGCTCTCATTTCTGGAAAGGGATCATTTCGTGTGCAAATCAGACTGCGTCTTAGGGTGTGCACCCGAAATACCCCCAGAAAATACCCTTTGGTATGTAGACCACAGCTTTAAAGAGCCCCCGGGTAGGTGCTGATTTTGCAGGGGTTGAGTTGAGTTGGACCGCGAAGAATCCCGGATTTGTTGCCCATGTATTAAAGAGCCCCCGGGTAGTGCTGATTTTGCGAATATAACCCCCCGGAAGGACTACCATGACAGCCTGAAACAGTAGATCATTAGAGCAGTGCTGTCAAGTCCAAATGCAATGAAAGTTCTCCCAACTGGTATCATCATCATCAGCCTTGCACAATCGTCCTTCCTTCCTTCCTTCCCTCCTGTACGCTGTTTGCACGAACAGTGCCATTCCCCTCGCCGACCCTTGAGACAGGAGTTATGGCACGAACGCATCAGTCAGCCCCGATCCCACAAGTCTTCATGCGCTGGTTACCCTAATTCGTGCTTTCTCGTGTTTGTGTGTGCATGCTTTGCTCATGAACGTTTCACGAGGTGGGTGTGTCGCCCTTATGCAGGTGTTGTTGCAAGATTGCGGACGTATGCCACTCGTCGTTGCGTCGCCATTTCGTTCATTGCTTTCTTGCGAATGCGAATCGGATCCAGTAACGGACTGCCGCGGTTGGCGGAATGCGGTTACTATTGATAGCTTGGTTAGGTTTCGCCCGCCGTACGTATTAGCTACTATTATCAGTCCTCGCCGCTCGCGGATTTTAGGAATATATAAAAGCATGTACCAATAGCGGAGTGTTGTCGCGCAAGTACCGTACTCTCCCGTGACAGGAAAAGAGTGGGCCACGGGCTAGTACAGGAAAAGAGTGCGCCAAGGGCAATGGATGCAGCTGTAAGGGTGGCATACGCCGTTGTGCTATTTGAAATTCGTATTAGTAGGGCGTAGGCCACTTTATAGCAGACTGCTCAGAATAAGAGGATCCCTGACAGTAGTTAGGTAGTACAACTACTAGCGGGACCGACGAGGAGGGCGGTAGGAGGACTATTATTTGAAGCAAGCAGTGGTCCCGACGGCGGCGGTAGCGCGGGACAGGCGAACATGGCGCGGCCCTGCTGGCGGAGTAAAATAGATTTACCCTGTTGATTTGATGTGCTCGCACTGTTTGACACATCTCGTGTCCCGCTCGAGCTCCATTAAATCGTCGCCGGATAAGTAGCATCGTCGTCCCGTTCGCACACCACTGGTTTGTCGCAGTTACCCTAATCGCACGGCATCGCACAGGCACCTCACCCTGCCTACTAGTCGCCGTCGGTTCCCGTTACGAGGCTGCGGCTAGTTTCCGCGCCGAACTATTTTTACTCCAGGCCGAACCTGAGCGTCTTCTGTCCGACGATTAAGTCATACCCGCAAAGATGATTTTGCCGTGTCGCTCGTCGCGCGCTGCGCGGCGATTTGGTCGCCTGGTCGCACTTGTCGCATGGGTCGCAGGATGGGTCGCACTGGCCGTATGGATAGGGCTGTACACGCGGCGAGCCGCCGAGGCTCCGCGACAGACGGCGATCACCAACTGGTGCGCGGAGCGCGTTCGGTATCTGCACGCGGAGTTCGATTCGAATGTGAAACAAGTGGAGGTGGGTGTGTGTGACTGCAACGAAAACCGCCGAGCAGGTGTGATAGTGAAAGTAGAGGGATCTCATTCAATCCAGCAAAACATGCAGCAGTCAAAAGCCGAGCCGCCGCGATAGACTGAGAAATTCCGTTCCTTTGTCTCTTCCTCCTTCCGTTACACCAATCAGATTTTGGCGGGTCTGGTCAACCAATTTAACGGGTTCAGCGCGACTCCAGGCAACATGTCGTACTGGGGCTACTCGGGCTGCGTGGATAAGGTTACGTGGGAGGTGCACCGTGCGGTTACCGGTTTCGCCAGGCCGTGGGTCACTTCGCTTTGGGGCGGCGTTATCGCGGATAAAGATAGGTGCGAGGCACGTGGGTGGGTGGGCGGGAGGGTGGGTGTGCTGGTAGGTGGGGGAGCGGGTGTGGGCAGGGGGAGAGGCAAGGATGAGACGACTCATTTCTGAGAACGCAGTTCCGGTGTGTCAGTAACGGACAGGTGGGCTGCGGAGGCCTGGGCTGCGGAGGCCTTACTTCCATCAAACTTGTCAACCCACGGCTAGGGTTGACATGTGTGTGTGAGTGTTTGTGTGTGTGTGTGTGTGTGTGTGTGTGTGTGTGTGTGTTCATGTGAGTGTGGTGTGTGTGTTCATGTGAGTGTGGTGTGTGTGTGTCTGTTTGCTTGTGTGTGTGCATGTTCATGTGTGTGTGTGCATGTGCATGAGCATGCTTGTGGGTGCATGTGCTTGTGCATGTGTGCATGTGTGTGTGCGTGTGCATGTGCATGTGCATGCGCGTGTGTGCATGTGTGCACGTGCATGTGCATGTGTGCATATGTGGATGTGCATGTGTGCATGTGTGTGTGCGTGTGTGTGTGCGTGTGCATGTGCATGTGCATGCGCGTGTGTGCATGTGTGCACGTGCATGTGCATGTGTGCATATGTGGATGTGCATGTGTGCATGTGTGTGTGCGTGTGTGTGTGCGTGTGCATGTGCATGTGCATGCGTGTGTGTGCATGTGTGCACGTGCATGTGTATGTGTGCATATGTGTTTATGTGCATGTGCATGTGCATGTGTGGATCGTGCATGTGTGCATGTGTGTGTGTGTGTGTGTGTGTGTGTGTGTGTGTGTGTGTGTGTGTGTGTGTGTGCATGTGCATGTGCACGTGCATGCGTGTGTGTGCATGTGTGCACACGCGTTCAGCGTCATATTCTTCCCCTTCCCTCTCTTTTGTCCTCCCCCACTCCCTCTTCCGCCCTCACCCCTGCAGGCCATGGGTGGAGGAGCAATTAGACTGCCAGTTCCGCTCCCCCAACGGCTCTCTCGCCCCGCCCAGCCTGTGGTACAGCATCAACTTCTTCCCCTTCAAGTCAATATTCGGGTTGCGCGCGTGCCTGGATTTTGGCGCGGCCTTCCCCGCGCAGATGGCACAGATGATCGCCACAGGCCGCGCCGTCAGCTCCCCCGCCGTCCTTGCACCAAATGGACGGCTTGGATTCCGTGAGTTGAGAGAGTTGGGGATGAGATGCGGAAGAGACGGGGAAGAGACGGGGAAGAGACTGGGAAGAGACGGGGAAGAGACTGGGAAGAGACGGGGAAGAGACTGGGAAGAGACGGGGAAGAGGCGGGGAAGAGACTGGGAAGAGACGGGGAAGAGACGGGGAAGAGACGGGGAAGAGACGGGGAAGGGATGGAATGAGATGGAATGAGATGGGCTGAGCTCGTGAGACACGCTGTGGGTGTTTGTTTGTGTGCCTTCTCTGGTGCTCCATACTGAGAGGAGATAAGATGGGATGAAAAGAGATGAGATAAGATGGGATGGGATGGGATGGGATGGGATGGGATGGGATGGGATGGGATGGGATGGGATGGGATGGGATGGGATGGGATGGGATGGGATGGGATGGGATGGGATGGGATGGGATGGGGTGGGATGGGATGAGATGGGATGGGATGGGATGGGATGGGATGGGATGGGATGGGATGGGATGGGATGGTATGGGATGGGATGGTATGGGATGGGATGGGATGGGATGGGATGGGATGGGATGGGATGGGATGGGATGGGATGGGATGGGATGGGATGGGATGGGATGGGATGGGATGGGATGGGATGGGATGGGATGGGATGGGATGGTATGGGATGGGATGGGATGGGATGAGTTGAGACATTGGCGGCCGGCCTTGTTTGGTGAGTCGTGGAGGCGAGGCGCCGCAATAATTGTCAAGGGCTCACCAAAAAAATATAATTGTCATTTTCCCGTCCGCCTGTCCATCTCCCCCCCAGTGTACGCGTTTCCGATGTTCCGAACGCCGGTGAGGGAAGGGGCGAGCAGGGAGGAGGTGGAGGCGAGTGTGGCGGGCTTCATCGGGTGCGGGCTGGACGTGGGGCTTCTTGTCTCCCACGCCCTCGTAGACGTGCTGCACAACGGTGAGTTGCGGTGTAGATCGGTGCAGAGCGTTACAGAGCGGTGCAGAGCGTTACGGAGCGGTGCATGCGACTGCACTGCAGCACTGCACAGCAGCGGGCAGCAAGGAGGCGGATGAAGCGAGTGTGGCGGGGTTCATCGGGTGCAGCCCTGATATGGGGCTGCTCGTGTCACACGTGCTCGTGGACGTGCGGCACAACGGTGAGTCGCGGTGCAGAGCGGTGCATGTGTGTGCAGCACGGTACGGTAGTGGGTGGTGGGCAGGGAAGGAGGTGGAGGAAGCGAGTGTGGCGGGGTTCATCGGGTGCAGCCCTGATGTGGGGCTGCTCGTGACTCATGCCCTCGTCCCTGCTCTCTCCCCCACCTTCTCCCCTTCCCTCTCTCCCCACCAGATTCTGACATCTTCTCTCTCCAGCTCTTTGACATAACAGAACCAGCCCACCCCGTCCCTCTCAACGCCCCCAACGGCTCCTCCCAGCAACCCCCCAACCTCCTCTTCACCTCACCCAACCCCGCCTTCCCGAGCCTCAACTACAGCGTCGTCGAGCCGTTCCCCGAGCCTGTGGTGGGGCGGCACATCCAAGCCTACTGCTCGCACCTCGTCCCCGGCAGCACGTGGGCGCTCCTCTACGCGCCCCTCCTCCTCGCACTCCTCGTGCTCCTCGTCTCCGCCCTCCTCTCTGTAATCATTCTCGTCCTCCGCCGGAAAGGCGCGGCGATCCGCGCAGAAATGAGCGCCGCGGAGGAGTACACTCTCCTCTTGGAGCGTGCCGAGCGGGCCAAAAGCGAGAGCATAGCGTGCCTGAGCCATGATCTCCGCACGCCGTTTAATGGGATGCTGGGGATGATGGACGAGTTGTTGGATACGCAGCTGGAGGAGTGGCAGATGAGGGACGTGGTGGACGCGCGGGTGTATGCTGCGTCGGTGATTGGGCTGCTGAGCACGATTCTGGACCTCGCCAAGCTGCAGGCAGATATGCTGGAGCTGGACTCCGTGCCCTTCAGTCTTCACCAGTGCCTGGAGACGGCCGCCCGCTCGCTGTTCACTGATGCTCAAGACAGGCACCTCGAATGTGAGTCGGGGCGAGAGGGGCTGGTGAGGAGAGAGAGAGGCGGGATGGAGGTATTTCTTTCCTTTTGAGGCTCCGCAAGATCCCGCACTTTTGAAGAAGGTAGACAGATTCAAAAGTGGGGGATCTTCTCGAGCAGCCCGGTTCATTTGCTCCTTCTCGTCTATTCGTTTCTCAAATCATTGTGTTTCCACACCACCCGCCCACTTGTCCTGTCCTGTCCTGTCCTGTCCTGTCCTGTCCTGTGCGTTCCTCTGCGTTCTCTGCCAGTTTTCTGCCACGTGGACCCCAGTGTACCGGACATTCTAATCGGTGACCCCACCCGAGTCACCCAAGTCATGCGCGAGCTCATGGGTACGTCTTAGACTAAAGTTGGGTTGTGCCGTGCCTCTCACCTCACTCCTTTTGGGTACGTCTTAGACTAGAGTTGGGTTGTGCCGTGCCTCTCACCTCACTCCTTTTGGGTACGTCTTAGACTAGAGTTGGGTTGTGCCGTGCCTCTCACCTCACTCCTTTTGGGTACGTCTTATACTAGAGTTGGGTTGTGCCGTGCCTCTCACCTCACTCCTTTTGGGTACGTCTTAGACTAGAGTTGGGTTGTGCCGTGCCTCTCACCTCACTCCTTTTGGGTACGTCTTAGACTAGAGTTGGGTTGTGCCGTGCCTCTCACCTCACTCCTTTTGGGTACGTCTTAGACTAGAGTTGGGTTGTGCCGTGCCTCTCACCTCACTCCTTTTGGGTACGTCTTAGACTAGAGTTGGGTTGTGCCGTGCCTCTCACCTCACTCCTTTTGAGCGGCTGAGGTGCGTCATCAGTATGGTGCCTCCCTGAACCGAACCTTGTTTGCTTGCGCTCTCCCTTCCTCTCAAACGAATATTGCACTACTGCCTGCCTCGTTATCCCCCCCGCAATATCCCTCACTGTCCCGACCCACGTCCTTTTCCTTTCACTTCTCACATCCCCTCTCACTTCCCACATATCTCTCCCTTGCTTACCACATGTCCTTCCCCCACTTGCCCTTGCTTCCCCTTGTCCCCCCAGGTCACGCCATCAAGAGCACGCTATCCGGCCATGCAGCCTTCCACATCTGGTGCCTGCCCACCCATCCCTGCACCCCCTCTCCTTTTCCCATATCATCACACTTCCTTCTCCCTTCCCCATGCCCCATGCTCCGTACCCCCCCAGGTCACGCCATCAAGAGCACGCTATCCGGCCATGCAGCCTTCCACATCTGGTGTCTTCCCGCCCATCCCTGCACCGCCACTCCCAAACCTGCTGCTCCCGCTTCCACCGCTGCCGCCACTGCCACCCACTCTGCTTCTGCTGCTGCTGCGGTCTCTGGTTTTGAGCCTGTAGCGGAGCCGGCTGTAGCAGGTGCGGCAGTAGCTGAGGTGGCTGTAGCAACCTCACCTGGAACAGTCACCGAGCATGGAGCCTACAGCATGAGCCGCCCTCTGCAGCATCAAGAAGGGCAAAAGCAGGTGACAGCACTACAGGCGTGGCTGGCAGCCTGGCTGGCGTCAGCACAGCAGAAAGCACAACGACCCGCCTCTCCCTCCTCCTCCTCCTCTCCCTCCTCCTACCCCTCCTCATGCCCTCTCAGCCGCGGCAACACACACTTCAAAAGGATAGTGTCCCAGAGATTGAAAACGCGGCTGCAGAACCAGCGAATAGAGAACAGCAGCAGCAGCAGCAGCGGCGCCGGCGGCGGTTGTGTCAGTGGCAGCAGCAGCGGCAGCAGGGGGAAAGAGGTGGTTTCTCTGTCGCCTGAGGCTCAGCAGGTGTGCCAGCAGTTGGAGAGGTTTGTAAGTCGGTTCCAGGAGAACGTGGTGTTTGCTACGGTTCCCTCTGGTAGAACGAGGTGGGGGAGGGAGAGCAGGCGCGTGTGGGGCAGAGTGACGGGCAGAGTGTGGGGTAATAAGGGTAGGGGTGGGGGTGGAGGTAGGGGGGGAGGTAGGGGGGTAAGTGGGGGGGAAGGTGGGGGAGAATGTGAAGGAGGTGGAAGAAGGCCGGTACGAGGGAGGGATAGAGGGAGGGGGGGAGAGAGGGGGAAGGGAGATGGGAGGAATGGCACAGGGCAGCACTGGGAAGGAAGGGATCTGCTCACCGTTCTGAAGCCCATCGTCTCAGCTCCTTGGAGTGTTTTCCAACGCTGGTTTGGGTTTTCTGGCAGGAGTGGTGGTGGGGGTGATGGGCGTTTCTTGAGTATTCGTGGGAGTGGGATGGGTAATGGGGGTGGCGTGGAGGAGGAAAGGGGGGGAGGGGGTGGGGAGGAGGGTCGGAGGCGATATCGAGGAGGCTTTTATGGGGGATGAGACGGGGGATGAAGTGTGGAGTGAGCGAGGGGGGGTGGAGAAAGGGGTTGGAGCAAGAGTAGAGGAGTTGGGTTCCGCCAGTGCAGGGGAGGAGAGAGATGGGGGCGAGAGAGAGGGAGAAGAGGAGGAGGAGTATGAGTATGAAGAAGCAGAGGAGGATGAGGAGGAGTTAGGTTTTGAGCCTCCGACGAACCCCCCTGACAGATCGCCTGAGTCAGCCAAGTCAAGCCAGTCAACGGGGGCCACACGGAGAGGAGCGGGGGCTTCATTGGCACCAGGGGAGGAGACGGGAGGAGCGACTGAGGGAGCGACTGGGAGAGCGACTGAGAGAGCACAAGGGGGGGCAACACGGGCGATGGCAGGGGAAGCAAGGGCAGCAGGGCAAAGAGTGGTGGGGAGAGAAGAGGAAGTGGTGGTGGTGATGGTGTGTGAGGATACGGGGTGTGGTATTCCCTCCCAGGAGCTGCTCTGGGTTCTGGACCCTGCCGGCCAGACCACCACTGGCAGCAACAGCAGCAGCAACAGCAACAGCAGCAGCAGCAGCGGCGGCGGCGGCGGCGGCAGAGGCAGCAACAGCAGCGGCGACGGCGACGGCAGAAGAAACAGCAGCGGCAGCAGCAGCAGCGGCAGCAGCAGCAGCGGCGGCGGCGGCGGCGGTGGGGTTACTGGTGCGGCCAGCGGCAGCAGCGGGAAAAAGGGGATGCAGAGCGGTGACGAGGCAGTGCAGGGCGTGACGAAGGGGATGCAGAGCGGTGGAGAGGTGTTGCAGGGGCAGGAGGAATGGAGCCCGTATCCTGTTCGGTTCCTCCTGTCCACTGGCCTGGTTCGTCTTATGCGGGGATCCATGGGAGTGGCTTCAGAAGAGGGTGTGGGGACCACCATCCTAGTCAGCCTGCCATTGCGAGCGCGCCACCTGGCAGGAGATGACACCTCCCCTGTGGATGAAGCCACGGCTGGAGACGCCGGGCCTTGGCTGGAGGCTCGGCGGAGCGTTTTAGGTTCGGTCCGAGGCAAGCGCGCGTTGGTGGTGGATGGGATGAAGCTGAGGCGAGAGGCTGTGAGCGAGTGTTTGAGGTACCTTGGGATCTCCGTGGCTGTAGCTGCTACAGCTGGCCAGGCGGGGTTCCTGTTAATGGGAAGCAGTAGCTGTAGCAGTGGCAGGAGCAGTTGGAGGGATGGGTCGGAGAGGAGGCGAGGGAGGGTGGGGGATGGGGAAGAGGAGGAGGATGAGGAGGGAGAGATGGAGGAGGAGGACGAGGAGGAGAAGGAGAAGGAAGAGGAGGAGGAAGAAGAGGAGGGGGATGTGGGTTGGCAAGAAGAAGGGCAGAGCAGTAGTATCGGTAATGGTACCGGTAGGCTTAGCAGAAATGGTAACAGTAAGAATATTAACAGTAACAGCAGCAGCCATACTGCTACCATTTCAAAACGCAGCAGCAACCGAGTAACTCTTGCCGTTCCCACGAGTCCCATAAAGCCCTTCCCAGCGACTGAAAGACTGGCCGGTTTCACCATAGACGAAGGTAAGGAGTGGAGTAGTGAGACAGCTGCGGAGGAGGAAAGGAAGGGAGAGGAAGGAGAGGAGGAGAGGAATGGAGAGGAGGGAGGAGAGGGAGAGGATGGAGAGGAGGGAGAGGAGGGGGAGGAAGGAGAGCAGAGGAGTTGGGATGTGGTGTTTATTGAAGCAGACGCGTTCGGCTCCGCAACAGGGTTTGGGTTCGGCAAGCGGGTGATTTCGCATTGGCAGCACCAACAGCACCCCGGCGGGCGAGAAACGCCGCCACCGTCCCCCACCACTCCACACCCCTCCTCCTTCCCTTCAAGCTCGTCCAACCCATCTGTATCTCCGCCGCCCGCGCTGCTTTCCACGCCGCTGCCGCTCCGGTCGCCGCACCCACTCTCCACACCAAACCCGCTTCCCACGCCCCACCCACTCCCCACATCAAACTCGCTCCCCACGCCCTGGCCGCTGCCGCAGCTGCTTGCGAGTGTGTCACACCCGCCGCTGGTGCTGACGGGGAGGAGCGCGTGTGAGGGCGTGCAAGCTAGAGCAGCCGGGTTCAGTGACGTTCTCGCCCGCCCCTGGATGGCCAGCGATGCCGCTCGGCTGCTGCAGGAGGTAAGGAGTTAGGTGGGTGTGTGTGACATGGCATGGCATGGCAGCACAGAGGGAGGAGCGTGTGTGAGGGAGTGCAGGCGAGAGCAGCTGGGTTCAGTGATGTGCTCGCTCGCCCCTGGATGGCCAGCAGCGATGCTGCTCGCCTGCTGCAAGAGGTAAGCATGTTAGGTGCATCAGGTAGGGGTGATGCTGGTCATATTCTCCGTCAGATTTCCCATTTCCTTCAGATGCTGGGCGGCAGGGAGGTGCTGGTGGTGGATGACAACGCGGTGAACCGCGTGGTGGCCAGGAAGAGAGCCTCCCTCCTCTCCTCGCCCCTCTCCTTCCTTCCCCCTTCCCCCTTCCCCCTTTCCTCCTTCCCCTTTGACCCGTCAGATTTTCGCCCCACCTCCCTCCAGCCCAATCAGCACCCATCACCGCAGCAGAGAGCGCAGAGCAAGAAGACCTCCCTCAGCAACTCTTCTCCCGCTTCGCTCTCGACGCATCGGCTGTATTAAGATCCATGCTGGGCGGCAGGGAGGAGCTGGTCTGGTGGTGGATGACAACGCGGTGAACCACGTGGTGGCCAGGAAGAGAGCTTTCCCCTTATCCGCGTGATAAAAGTTGTATTTTGAGACACGTGGTGGCCAGGAAGAGGCGCCTCAAAGACGACCTCAATGCGCCAGGAAGAGAGCCTTCCCCTTATCCGTCTCCTCCCTTCCCCCTTCCCCACTTCCTCCCTCCTCTTTTTCCCGTCAGATGTTCGCCCCACCTCCAGCCGGATCCGTCTCTGCAGCTCACAGCGCCCCAGCCCAGGAGCAAGAAGAGGACCTCCCGCAGCAACTTTTCTCCCGCCTCGCCCTGGAAGACGCTTCATCCGTCCTGCGAGAGATGCTGGGTGGCAGGGAGGTGCTGGTGGTGGATGACAACGCCGTGAACCGTGTGGTGGCCAGGAAGAGCCTCGTGGGGCTTGGGGCGCGAGTGGAGGTGGCTGCGAGTGGGGAGCTGGCGCTGCAGCGCCTGCTGCACCCGCACGCCTTCGTGCTGGCACTCGTTGACATTAATATGCCTCCAGGGATTGACGGGTGAGTCGTTAGGTACCTCCGCTGTGCTTCTGGTGTGGCCTGGTGTCGCCTCGTAGGGCTGGGGGCGCGCGTGGAGGGGGCTGCTTCTGGGGAGCTGGCCCTGCAGCGCCTGCTGCACCCGCACAGCTTTGTGCTCGCACTGGTCGACATCAACATGCCTCCGGGGATTAGTGGCATGGTTCTCCTGGTCCTTCTGCTGCTTCTTCTGCTTCTGCTGAAGGGGTTTGTGATAAGTTTGTGCAAGCAAGGACATGGAAACAGTAACCACAGCGTATGTCCTTTTCCGGTTCTCCCTCCCTCCTGTTTTTCCCAACCACAGCTTCGACATGTGCCGTCACATCAGAACACGGGAAGACCTGGCGAATCCTCTCCTCTTGTCCCCTCCAGTGCCTCTCAGCTTCCTGCATCCCATTCCCTCTTTCCACTCCCTCCCTCCGTCTGTCCCTCCCTCTCTCCAACCACAGCCTCGAGACGTGCCGCCACATCAGGGCGCGAGAAGCTCTGGTGAACCCTTCCCTCCCTTCAGCTGCTGCTGGCGCTGCCGCCGCTGCTGGTGCTGCTGGTGCTGCTGCTACAGCTACCGCCCCGCCGCGGCTGTGTGTGGTGGCGCTGACAGCCGACTTGGATGCGAGAATCCGCAAGGCGTGTGAGCAAGCCGGCATGGACGGAGCTATCTCCAAGCCTATAGTGGCCCAGGACTTGCTCACCGTGCTCAGATCTGCCGGTTTTGCTGGTGCCACCTAAGCTTGGATTCTTCTCTTGCGCGACATCGGACCTGGATGCGAGGATACGCAAGGCGTGTAAGCAGGCGGGCATGGATGGGGCGATTTTGAAACCCATAGTGGCCCTGGGATCTGATCTTCTCTCTGTGCTCAGATGTGCCTGCTTTCGAGACGTCTCAAAACATCTCTTTTATCAGGCGGGCATGGATGGGGCGATTTCGAAACCCATAGTGGCCCTGGGATCTGATCTTCTCTCTGTGCTCAGATGTGCCTGCTTTCGAGACGTCTCAAAACATCTCTTTTATCAGGCGGGCATGGATGGGGCGATTTCGAAACCCATAGTGGCCCTGGGATCTGATCTTCTCTCTGTGCTCAGATCCGCCTGCTTTCCTGGGCCCACTGCTGCCACGTGAGTTGGGTTGGAGTGCCATGGAGTGTGGAGGGGGAGAGTGTCAAGGCCTTAGTGAACAGACTACAGTGTCGGGTGTAAGGAAGACGTGTATTTAAGCACCTTCAAGAATACACAGGGCCATGATAGTCATGTCTCATGACTCTGGAAGGGCATGGTCCCGACTCCCGAGGTGATTTTTGAGTCAAGTTCAAACCCCTGTAGAAATGGGGGAGGGGACAGAAGTGTCAAATGCTTATTCAACCGCCTCAATGGTGGAGGTACGGATACTGTATGATGGACTCTGGAGTGTGCCATGATGGTCATGACTCATGACTCCGGAATGGCATGGTCCTGGCACAACCAGAATACGAGCAGCACCAAGCCTATTGCACGGAATCTTCAAAAGTGCTCTTCTTCCTCCTCTCCTTACTCAGGGTGCAGCTGGGTTTATACAGTAACGCTGGATTTAGAGTACTGGACTGGTCCATTTACCACCAGTATTCTGTACTGCAATTTGTGCACCAAGTGCCGATTGCTGGAGCCGGCGCGATACCTCTACCATGCTTTGAATTGTGTTGTTTAGTCTCAGATATCAGAATCAGATGTCTTTAGTTTGACTTGTCTGGTTTTCGTTTGGAATTTGTGAATGTTAGACTTGTAACGTTTTCCATATGAGTTTGCAGACTTCCGAATGTTTGTATCGAAGTTTTCTTCTGTTCACCCAATCTCCGCCTAACACCACAGCTGCAGTCTCCGAAAGCGGAACCACCTTATGTGGGAGATTCGCCTTGAGCCGCACTCACAGGTGGGAGGTTTTCTTAGGGCGCGTGTCTTTTGGTGTAGAGCTCGAAAAAGTGTTCAGCTTTTGACTGGTAACCCGTTTCGCGATTGTCGTAACAGCAGATTGCGAAAATCGTGTGTCCCAGTTCATGGTTTGATGAAACTGAAGGACACTGAACTAGGGTCAAATTTTCACGTGCACGTTTATCCAAACGTGTGTTCTTCTGCTCGTGCACAGTGAATTTGCGAAACGCACGACGGTCACGAAAAACAGCGTACCAGGTTACTGTAGCCGGATTCGTCACAGACCATGTCGTCTAGACTAGGTAACCTACGAAATTTGGGCACGACTCGGAATCCCTTGTACATAGTCGAACTTTGTTAGTCGAACTTTGCTGTTCCATCTGTTTGATGTGAAAGGTAACACTGCGACTTGACCACAAATAGTCGAGAAAGTCGACCACAGGTCAGCCGAAGCTCAAATGGATAAAGCTGAACAGAAAACATGAACTACAAATACACTCCAAAAGGCACGCGCCCTTAGAGGTTCGAATCCTAGCACGAACCCTAGTTGTAGTGTGTTGCGATCGAAGCACTTGCTTCCAGTTCCAGTTGGTGACTGGTGGATTTGATTTTCTAACTAGGTGCGGAACTTGTGCTGATGTGCCTCACAGTCATTGGCTTTGTTCTGCAGTCCAGTTACCGCTATGTAGCCTAAATAGAGTGTCACCACGAGTGAGTTGTCTCGACTCCTAATCTCCTATCGCTTCAGCACAGAAATATGTTAACATGCTTCCAAAGAAAGGTGTACTACAAACAAATCCTTACACGCCCATTACGCAGGGTCTAACTCTTGCTGCAATGCCTCCAGGAGGAATGCTAAATCACTGTCCGAACCTAACTCCCCTTCTTCGATACCTTCCTCCGCATTGTCTATCAGATTATTACACTCCCTTCCCTGGATGTTGCCGTTCAAATCGCCTCTCCTCCATACCATCTCTCCTCCCCTCCCTCCTCCCATCTCTCCATCCCCAGGCGTCTCAAGAATCGCCTGCCTCATTAGCTGCAGCCAAGTACCAGTACTTACAATAGGTTCCTCCTCAGTGCCTCTAGGGGCTGCTACAGCAGCACCCACCTGTGATTGGCTGATAAGAGCAGCAAGTGTGGCATCAGACAGGGTGATACCCTCAGCATCCGACAGGGTAACACCCTCGGGATCTGACAGGGTAACACCCTCGGGATCTGACAGGGTAACACCCTCAGCATCTGACAGGGTAACACCCTCGGGATCTGACAGGGTAACACCCTCGGGATCTGACAGGGTAACACCCTCGGGATCTGACAGGGTAACACCCTCAGCATCTGACAGGGTAACACCCTCGGGATCTGACAGGGTAACACCCTCGGGATCTGACAGGGTAACACCCTCGGGATCTGACAGGGTAACACCCTCGGGATCTGACAGGGTAACACCCTCAGCATCTGACAGGGTAACACCCTCAGCATCTGACAGGGTAACACCCTCGGGATCTGACAGGGTAACACCCTCGGGATCTGACAGGGTAACACCCTCGGGATCTGACAGGGTAACACCCTCGGGATCTGACAGGGTAACACCCTCGGGATCTGACAGGGTAACACCCTCAGCATCTGACAGGGTAACACCCTCGGGATCTGACAGGGTAACACCCTCGGGATCTGACAGGGTAACACCCTCAGCATCTGACAGGGTAACACCCTCGGGATCTGACAGGGTAACACCCTCGGGATCTGACAGGGTAATACCCTCGGGATCTGACAGGGGAACACCCTCAGCATCTGACAGGGTAACACCCTCGGGATCTGACAGGGTAACACCCTCGGGATCTGACAGGGTGACACCCTCAGCATCTGACAGGGTAACACCCTCGGGATCTGACAGGGTAACACCCTCGGGATCTGACAGGGTAACACCCTCGGGATCTGACAGGGTAACACCCTCAGCATCTGACAGGGTAACACCCCCAGGATCTGACAGGGTAACACCCTCGGGATCTGACAGGGTAACACCCTCGGGATCTGACAGGGTAACACCCTCGGGATCTGACAGGGTAACACCCTCGAGATTTGACAGGGTAACACCCTCAGCATCTGACAGGGTAACACCCTCAGCATCTGACAGGGTAACACCCTCGGGATCTGACAGGGTAACACCCTCGGGATCTGCTGCCCCACCTGCCGATGTGCTCTGAGGATTCCCGAAACAGGCACCGAGATTGATTGTGGATGCGCAATGTGAGGATGGGGCAGGGGGAAGAGAGGGGAGTGAGTGGAACAGAGAGAGAGAAGGGAGAGAGGGGAGAGAGGGGAAAGTGGGGGTAGACTGGGAAGAGGGGAGAGAGGGGGAAGAATTGAGAGAGGTGATCGAGGAAGGAACGGGAGAAGAGTGGAGAGAGGGGAGAGATGCAGCAGCAGCAGCATCGGCAGCAGCAGCATCATCGGCATCAGCAGCAGTCCTGCTATGTGTTTGAGGCGTTTCAAAGACATATCCCTGGGCACCCAACAACGCATGGACTGCAGCAATAGCAGCCCTTCTCTCTTGAAGCCCCTCACGCACCAGTGCGTGCCCTCTGCCCTCTGTTGAATCACCTCGGGCCCCAGTCCCCATTGTTGAATCACCTCGGGCCCCAGTCCCCATTGTTGAATCACCTCGGGCCCCAGTCCCCATTGTTGAATCACCTCGGGCCCCAGTCCCCATTGTTGAATCACCTCGGGCCCCAGTCCCCATTGTTGAATCACCTCATGCCCCAGTCCCCATTGTTGAATCACCTCGGGCCCCAGTCCCCATTGTTGAATCACCTCGGGCCCCAGTCCCCATTGTTGAATCACCTCATGCCCCAGTCCCCATTGTTGAATCACCTCGGGCCCCAGTCCCCATTGTTGAATCACCTCATGCCCCAGTCCCCATTGTTGAATCACCTCGGGCCCCAGTCCCCATTGTTGAATCACCTCATGCCCCAGTCCCCATTGTTGAATCACCTCATGCCCCAGTCCCCATTGTTGAATCACCTCATGCCCCAGTCCCCATTGTTGAATCACCTCGGGCCCCAGTCCCCATTGTTGAATCACCTCATGCCCCAGTCCCCATAGTTGAATCACCTCATGCCCCAGTCCCCATTGTTGAATCACCTCATGCCCCAGTCCCCATTGTTGAATCACCTCATGCCCCAGTCCCCATTGTTGAATCACCTCATGCCCCAGTCCCCATTGTTGAATCACCTCATGCCCCAGTCCCCATTGTTGAATCACCTCATGTCTCAGTCCTCATTGTTGAATCACCTCATGCCCCAGTCCCCATTGTTGAATCACCTCGGGCCCCAGTCCCCATTGTTGAATCACCTCGGGCCCCAGTCCCCATTGTTGAATCACCTCATGCCCCAGTCCCCATTGTTGAATCACCTCATGCCCCAGTCCCCATTGTTGAATCACCTCATGCCCCAGTCCCCATTGTTGAATCACCTCATGCCCCAGTCCCCATTGTTGAATCACCTCATGCCCCAGTCCCCATTGTTGAATCACCTCATGCCCCAGTCCCCATTGTTGAATCACCTCATGTCTCAGTCCTCATTGTTGAATCACCTCATGCCCCAGTCCCCATTGTTGAATCACCTCGGGCCCCAGTCCCCATTGTTGAATCACCTCGGGCCCCAGTCCCCATTGTTGAATCACCTCGGGCCCCAGTCCCCATTGTTGAATCACCTCATGCCCCAGTCCCCATTGTTGAATCACCTCATGCCCCAGTCCCCATTGTTGAATCACCTCGGGCCCCAGTCCCCATTGTTGAATCACCTCGGGCCCCAGTCCCCATTGTTGAATCACCTCGGGCCCCAGTCCCCATTGTTGAATCACCTCATGCCCCAGTCCCCATTGTTGAATCACCTCATGCCCCAGTCCCCATTGTTGAATCACCTCATGCCCCAGTCCCCATTGTTGAATCACCTCGGGCCCCAGTCCCCATTGTTGAATCACCTCATGCCCCAGTCCCCATTGTTGAATCACCTCGGGCCCCAGTCCCCATTGTTGAATCACCTCATGCCCCAGTCCCCATTGTTGAATCACCTCGGGCCCCAGTCCCCATTGTTGAATCACCTCATGCCCCAGTCCCCATTGTTGAATCACCTCGGGCCCCAGTCCCCATTGTTGAATCTCCTGTGCCAGGCTGGATAGAGAATCCAGGTTCGGTCGAGGCACGTCCAGAGATGAATCCAGGTTCGGGTGAGGCAACTCAACAAGTGAAGCTAGGTCCGGCTGAAATGGCAAGTCAGGGCCTTGGCAAGGGCTGATGAAGGGTTGATACGTGGGTTCCACAGTAAAGAGGCCCTCTGCTTGCTGCTGGAGTGAACTCAAAAGGAACTCAGAGAGGGGTTTCTTTGTTGGCTGCATAAACTTCAGACAGGATGCAGATGCTGCTGCTGCTTCTGCTGCTGCTGGTGTTTCTGCTGCTGCCACTGCTGCTGCTGGTGTTTCTGCTGCTGCCACTGCTGCTGCTGGTGTTGCTGCTGCTGCTGCTGTTTGCATATTTTCCAGCTTAAGTTCCAAGGCGTGCCTGCTGTATCGTTCAATTGTGGAACGCGCATGGCTGTGCTGACCCATCAGCACCAATCGGATCACCTTCCTCTGCTTCTCACTGCCTCCAATAGCAGTCAAACCATCACCACCACCACTAACAACATCATTTCCAGGAGCAGCAAAAGCAGCAGCGGGAACAGCAGCAGGAACAGCAGCAACAGGAGAAGAACCACCACCGACGCCATCAGCAGCGGTCTTATCTAGGGCAAGTCTGTCCTCCACTTTACGTGCCTTGCACCCGGTTACGGCCTTGCATGCACACCAGTAGTAAATCCTCTTGACCGGCTTCCCAGCAAGCCACTTGTGGGACCCTTTTTTCGACCGATACCTCCTGTGATCCCCATTGCTTCCTCCTGACTTTTGGTTACAATCACCAGCCTCCTCAACAACAGCAGCTTCAACCTCCTCCTCCTCCTCCTCCTCCTCCTCCTCCTCCTCCTCCTCCTCCTCCTCCTCCTCCTCCTCCTCCTCCTCCTCCTCCTCCTCCTCCTCCTCCTCCTCCTCCTCCTCCTCCTCCTCCTGCTGCTGCTGCTGCTGCTGCTGCTGCTGCTGCTGCTGCTGCTGCTGCTGCTGCTGCTGCTGCTTCTGCTGCTGCTGCTGCTGCTGCTGCTGCTGCTGCTGCTGCTGCTGCTGCTGCTGCTGCTGCTGCTGCTGCTGCGGCTGCGTCTGCCGCCACTGCCTCAGCCACTGCTGATTGATCTTGCCACAAGGACCCACTTCCACCGCCGCCACCGCGATCTCTGCTGCTTTCCTCTGTTTCTTCCTTGCCGGAAGGCTGCCTCCTCCTCCACCCCCACCCGTGCTGCCGCAACGGCGACCTTGCTGCGGCGCTTCAGTGGTGTCTTGCAGTTGAGGCGCCTCAGGCCGCTCCTTCTCCAGAGTAACAGCCGGGACCAGCGCTCTTTTGCTGCTGCAGTGATGATCTTGCTGCGGCGCTTCAGTGCTGACTTGCAGTTGAGGCGTCTCATGCCGCCGCTTCTTCTCCAGAGTAATAGCAGGGACCGGGGCTCTGCTGTTGCTGCCGCTGCTCGTAGCAGTGGTAGAATCAAGGCCTTTCAAATGAGTCACCGGCATGTTGAGGCTGCTGACAGTACTGTCAGTGGGCGTCAGGGTTGGATCATCGAGCAGACTGGAAACAGAGGTGTGCTCCCCGCTGGCACTGATAGCCATTGATAGTGATCTCAAGTCGCACCCTCAACTGTACTCTTAACTGTACCCTCAACTGTAGTTTCCAGTTTCAGAGCGGTGGTGCAGCAGCGCCTTACCAGTCCCCAGAGTATTAACTGCTGCTGGTAGTACTATCACCTGGTACTACTAATATCGGCCCACGCTTCACCAAAAGTTTTGGTGAAGCACTGACGAACAGATGCCTTAAAATTGAACGTGGGGCGCTCGTGGTCCCTCAGATTGGTGCAAAGCCCGGGCCTCCTCCAGTTCAGGTCTCGCTGCTGAGGTGCCTCAAAGAATCACCGGTCGTTTCTAAAAAAATCTCTCTGAATCACCGAGGCCGTGGCAGAACCGCGATGCAGCACATCTGAGTCAGGATGCGTTCAAGTTGGGCGTGGGTCGGCGCTGCCACCATTAAGTTACTAGCCCCGGAGGCCCCTGAGGCTCAGGCTGTACGTACAATTCGGCGTATCCTCACCGAGGTGGTTTCTCAAAATGCTCCGCAGCAGCCCCAGCCACGGGATCAGAAGCCTCCCTTTTCGATTGTGACACAAAAAATGCAGCAGGGTAGCACCACTAGTAGTAGCTTGAAACCTTCCTTGAAAGGCACGTTTTTCTCCTGAGTTGGAAACCTCCTAGTAGAGAGGCAGCAGTGGACGAGGAAATGCAGCAGAGAAATTGAAATAGTGGCACTGAATTTCACTGTTCGAAATACCTGCACGATAATTTGTGGGAAGGAAAAGATGGAGATCGTTGGGATTGGAGGGACGATATGAAGCTGCTCCTGTGACAGCTCTGGCAGTGTGACTAAGAGCGTACGTCAACGCGCGTTTGGCACTTCACTACCAGGACTCTCACTCAGGACTCTCAGTGCGTCAACAGTTTAGTGCTCACTCTCCAGATGTTTGCACCTTGGGAACTCCTTCGGGCGTTCGGAATTCTGCCACTGGCTGAAATGGGCGGCTTCAAATTTGGGGCAACATACTAAGTGCCATGTGGTCGTTTTTTTCCCTTTCTTTAAGTTTGCGCCTCCATACGTCTACCGATGTCCCGTCGAGAGATACACGGCGGTTCTTCAGGCGCTAGAAACGTCGCACATGCACCACTGCGAAGTGTTGGTCGACCGAGAGCATGGTAAACGGTAGTACAGTGTATGCCAATATTGTTTGTTGTGACTAATGATGCATAGAACCCGGCGTTGACAAGGTTTTAAGTGGTTCAAAAACCCATCATTGCTGAGTGGCACAGCTGGCAACGCTAGTAATCCAGGCCAGATGCCTTGAGGTGCCGCTTCTGAGAGTGGCGAAAACACCAATGACTCATTTCGGGATGGTATACCTCAGCCGACGAAACCTGCCGCCCAATTTCGCGGTTGCGATAGGACAACGAACCCCCTCGGGATTGACGAGCTCCTGACGACTTGCGAGTGGCAAACTGGGGCGACCTGGCAGTCCTCTGAGGCTCTGAACCCCTCGGGATTGTCGACTATCTGACGACCTCGGGTTTCGCTGAGAGAAACCCGAGAAGGATACCTCAGCGGACCCTGAACCACAGCTCGACACGTTGTGCGCCGAGCCGCGGTTACTGCCACGTGGCTTAGTAGGGACGGCCGAGATCGAGCCTGACAATCGGGAGGTGCCACGACGGCGCCGACGTGGCCCCGCTTCGCACCACCGGGTATATTTCGCTGCGCGCGAAACTTGTAACCATCGTCCACGCGGCGAAAGACGACTGGCATGTGTCCACCACCTAGATAGCCAGAGAACGCGGGGTATTGAGATGTCGGTGTCGCCCGAACATCCAACCGCAGCAGCACGACCCACGCGGATGGTTCTGTGCGGACCAAACAATGCATAGGCGAAGAGAGCCCCAGAGTCACGGAATGTCGGCGTCGACCAAGCCTCCGGCCACGCGCCTACTCGCAGGTCGATGAGGCTTGCGCGGGAGAGCAGGACGCTACGGCATTTCGGGAGAGTGGAACTAGGTGATTGGCCTATTGCACGTGGCGCACGTGAATTCCACCGTGGCAAGGCACCGGCGGGAGTGCCGTTGAGCGCAGAGCGGCGTGACACTAGACATGCATCGATCGTGACACGTCATGCCCGTGCACAGCGGCGCTTGCAAAGAGGGCTGCGTGGAGCGCGGCAGGTGCGCAGTGGCTCGCAACCATACCCCTCCTTGACCACGCACAACGCTCTCATTCTGCCGGTTCAGCTTCATGTTTCTCTCATGCTCCTGTGCGCCATCTAGCACTTCGTTTTGTTCACAGGACCCTCGCCATCTCTGCGGGTGTAGGTTACTCGACGGCCGAGACGACCGAGCGGCGGCACAAAGGCGACGACCTGGAATAGACTGCCATAGGTCGGTGTTGGGGTCGACCATCGTCGACTTCGCCTTACTAGGTTCTAGGTCGTCATCTAGGAAAGTCGACGACGATAGATCAGGGCGACGATAGCATCTCCCAACCTTACCGAGTCGGCGACGCATGTCCAGAGGAAGGGCTAGTGCCCAACAGCCACAACAACTTATCCCACCCCCCGCCGATTCGGTAGACGACGACATCAAAGCGCAACTGGAACGACTCGAGGTCGACGCTGAGTTAGAAGCACTTGAGAGGGAATTCGAGGAAGACCGCCGCAGGACGATTAGGGCGTACACCGCACCCATGAATCAGTACCATCTCTGGTTGACCAATCTTTCCCTCTTCCACGGCCGGCGGTAGAGCATACGAGCGGTCATGGACGACGTCGACATGCCCGACGTTGGTACCCCAACCGACCACAGTCCGTCCTCTGCCCCCGTAGAGACGCTGAAGTTGCTTTACGATCTTGACAAACTTACTCAGATTCCCGAAGGGGAGTACACCAAGGACATACCGAATCCGCCAATTGGGGAGTTTACGAAGAAGTCGACACCGACGGCAGATGGGCAGACTGGACCTTCGTCGGTGCCCGCCGGCTCGGAAAACCAAGGTGATAACGACGAGGAGGACGAGGAAGAGAGCGACGACGAAGTCGACGACCGTCCTCCGCGTAGCACGAATCCGCGCACCTTGGAAGAACGCCTTAGGCGGGAATTTGAATACATACGTGACATGCTCGAAGCGGACGAGAAGGAGGACGATCAGCACATGTCGGTGCCGCGCGAAGGGTGGAAGGCGACGGACTTTGTAGTGGACGACATGGTGTACTCCAGCATTGACGTGCTCATAATGGACGCCCTACGACACCTACAATGCTTGGAGAAGAATAGCACGCTCAGGCTGTACACCGCGTTCATCTACCACTACAAGAAGTGGGCGGCAAAGATGCTGAAGCAGCTACGCAACAAGCTACCCCATGAGCAACGACTTAGGCACGTCGACGAGATCGGCCACTACATCCGCGACAACAAGAAAGAGGATTGGTGCAACGAGAAAGTGGTCCGCCGACAGTACATCTGGCTGCACGGCCCTAGGGTCACCGAAACCCGGCTGCGCGCCTACGTGAAGCAAATGAGCCGTGAGTGTAACCTCATTGTTGACCAGCCCGGGGAGGAGAACAATGCCACGCGAACGGGGCCTGTGAGGTCGACAACTGTGCACACGATCCTCGGCCGGATAAAGGCATGCCAGATGGCGGCGAGGGTGGAGGCGACGTTGTACCGAGAGAAGGAGCTGGGCCTCATGAGGGAGATCTCGGTGGTGAGATCGGAGGTGCGGTTCAACGTCCGCCACAAGAACGAGAGGGACCTCAAGTAAGTTGGTCGACAACCTTATTATATATCACTGTGCACTGTGAAGTCGACGCAGTCTAACAGATTTTCCCCGCCGATTTGCGTTCAGGAACTGCGCCGACCGTCGACGCGGCACCATCGGCGATACCTACACCGCCGAGCAGTTCCGCCAGATCATGATGAGGGTGCTGCCGACATGGGCGGCGGCGGCGTGGAACCCGCGGGCTACCACTCCGTCGCAGACGCTGTGGCGATTCCTGCTCATCAAGGTGCTCACGCTACTCTCCCACCACACTCTCCTGCGCGGCGGCAGCATCCGCGAGATCACGCTCCCCGACATCTTCTTGTACCACCTGGCGAGCACCTCGGAGGTGAACCCGGATAGCCAGCCGGTCGTCATGGTGATCGCCGCGCGTAACTCGAAGACTTCCAAGGATGCCCGTCTTCAGCAGAGCTACGATGCGCGACACCTGGAAGCGGAGCTGTGCGCCGTCGGCGAGACCGGCCTGTGGCTGCACTTCATCCTCGACCAGATCGGTCAGTTCTCCGGCACCGACTTTCTTTCGCCGCTTGACATCACAGAACGCGAACGCTGGTACAAGAAGCATCTCTTCTTCGCCAGAAACGACAAGGAGCAGGAGGAGCTCTCCGCCGCCACCCACCAACGTTGGACTCGGCAGGTGTGGACGACCAACAAGGTGTTCTGCAAAAGGAACGTGCACGCCGCCCGCGCCGGAGGTGCGCAGGAGTTAGCCATCGGAGGGACGCCGCGCGCCGAGATCGCCGAGCTGGGACACTGGGCTCTCGACAAGATGACGCGTGCGTACATCACGGCCATTCCCGTTGGGGTGGTGATGCGGAAGGCCGGCTACTCGGGACTCAAGCAAGACTACTTCTTGGGGCGCAGCAGGGTCGAGCCCTCCGACCAACTCCTGGACCTCCTCGCCGAGCACATCTTCCCCGGCGTGGATGCTATGCTGCGCGATGTATGTCACGCGACGCCGACAATGTTTTTCAGTCGTCGTGGCCTAGTTGGCTGCCCAACTCCCTACTAACCCACGCCACTTTCCGACTTGCAGGCGGAGACGCGTGCCGTCAACGGGAGCGACGCCGCTGCAGCCGCAGTGCACTTCTTGCGCACCCTCGTGATGTTCCGACGAATCGTCGCCGAGGACCTCGCGGTGAAGCTCGTCCGCACACCGTGGCACCCGTACGTCCAAGGTTCCAAGCTCTGCAGGATTGCCCTCTTCCAGCACTGGGCGAAAAGGGTCGAGTCGGTCGACACCGAT